TTTTCGCTTGAGCTTGTATGTGTGCATCATTTGTTCTTTCAATTTACTTAGCCGTTTTTCATTCAAGAATACTTGGAGAACTAATCGGGGATCTGGCTCCCCACCTAGGCCGTGAGGGGCGGAAGGTTGGCAGGGCCGACCTTGACCGCGCCCTACTAGGTAAGGCGGGGCTGACCCGCACACTGTCAGTCTTGGACCAACGAGTTGTGCAAGCAGTTTGGCTAGTGATTAGACAACGGATGTACGAGAGGGGCTCGGGGCGCGACCTCTCGCATACCTTCGACCCGGAGGTCGGTCTTACACCACCTTGACTTGTACAGCTAGTTTCATACTTAGGAAAATTTTTGGTTGTTCCGTTTCTGAAAGTCGAACTGAAGTCGGCCAAACGTAAGGGCAGGGCCCCGCATGATCAGACCAGAACGGACCCGCACCGTTGATCCTGTCAAGCGCGTATGCGGGCTGCTAAGCCTACCAACGTCAGACAACGGATGTACGAAAGGGGCTCAGAGCACGACCTTTCGCATTCCTTCGGTCCAAAGACCGGTCATATAGTTGTCGCATTGTTGATTGGATCATACATGCATGCGAGCTGTTTAGACAGTAATGCTAGACTACGGATGTACGAGAGGGGCTCGAGGCGCGACCTCTCGCATACCTTTTCGACCCGGAAGCCGGTCCTACAATTGCCCTGACCGAGCAGCTAACCCCGGACTTAGAAAGTAGTATGATCATTTCCTTGCCCGAGAGCCGAGCCGTGATCGACTAAACACCGAGAGCGGGGCGTCATTTTTTTTTTTTTTTTTTGGCCACCGCCCGTTCATTTCCAAGTGAGGTCGGACCTCATTAAATTCTAGATTGAAAACAATTTTTTTTTTTAAGTAATGAAAGAATTTGAGAACTTGAGGAGTTGTCCCGAGTTCTACACTTCGTGCTTGATCACAATCTTGCTATGCTTCGCTCATAGGATTTGACAAGGTGCCCCGCGCCCGTACTTGGTAGTCTTGATATTGATGGTATGGACCTATCTGTGCATGCTTGGGCAGCATGGTTTCCAACACTATCATATCAGCTGGATTGAGCTTGTGCAACCAAGTCTCCAGACGATGAATGTGTCCCTTTCTCGGTGGATTGGGCCCGTAAAACCAAGCCTCAGGTCCGTGACACCGCCAATTGTCGCTTGGACTATGCTTGGCGCGTAGGGGAGCACGAGTGCAGAGCATACGAGCGTACACGGTAAGAACTACAACGTGCACAATCTTCACTCGACGCTTCGTGACTGCGACTTGTCGGCACCAATGAGTATCTTCAGCCTAAATACAATGCTCGGTCAGAAAGGATTGAATCCGAGCTCAGCTATCTCAGACTTGGTGCTCTAGGGATGTGCAGAGTGTACGGCGGTACGGGCGTACGGGAGTCCGGGCATACGGGAGTCCGGGCGTACGGGAGTCCGGGCATACGGGAGTCCAAGCATACGGGAGTCCAGGCATACGGGAGTCCGGGCATACGGGAGTCCGGGCATACGGGAGTCCGGGCGTACGGGAGTCCGGTCGTACGGGAGTCCGGGCATACGGGAGTCCAAGCGTACGGGAGTCCGGGCATACGGGAGTCCGGGCATACGGGAGTCCGGGCGTACGGGAGTCCGGGCGTACGGGAGTCCGGGCGTACGGGAGTCCGGGCATTCGGGAGTCCGGGCGTACGGGAGTCCGGGCGTACGGGAGTCCGGGCGTACGGGAGTCCGGGCATTAGGGAGTCCGGGCGTATGGGAGTCCGGGCATACGGGAGTCCTGGCGTACGGGAGTCCGGGCGTACGGGAGTCCGGGCATACGGGAGTCCGGGCGTACGGGAGTCCAGGCATACGGGAGTCCCGGCGTACGGGAGTCCTGGCGTACAGGAGTCCGAGCGTACGGGAGTCCAGGCATACGGGAGTCCGGGCGTACAGGTGTCCGGGCATACGGGAGTCCTGGCGTACGGGAGTCCGGTCATACGGTAGTCCGGGCATACGGGAGTCCTGGCGTACGGGAGTCCTGGCATACGGGAGTCCGGGCGTACGGGTGTCCGGGCAAACGGGAGTCCTGGCGTACGGGAGTCCAGGCATACGGGAGTCCGGGCGTACGGGAGTCCGGGCGTACAGGAGTCCTGGCGTACGGGCGTCCCGACCCCGGGCTTGCGCCCCAGGACAAGGTTGTGCATCCGGATCTCTCGGCAGAGACGGGCCTCTCGATGGAGATCGGAGGTTCACGTCGCCGGGTTGAGGCCGTGCCACCAAGCTTCAGCATACAGGCGTACCAACCCCGAACATGCGCTCCGAGACAAGGTTGTGCATCCGGACCTCCCGACAGAGACGGGCCTCTCGATGGAGATCGGAGGTTCACGTCGTCGGGTTGAGCCCGTGCCACCAAGCTTCGGCGTACGGCGTACCGACCCCGGGCTTGCGCTCCAGGACAAGGTTGTGCATCCGGACCTCCCAGCAGAGACGGGCCTCCTGATGGATATCGGAGGTTCACGTCGCCGGGTTGCGCCCGTGCCACCAAGCTTCGGCGTACGGCGTACCGACCCCGGGCGTACCAGTGGATGGTTCCGGTGGGATCAGCCTGAGAGAATTGGTTTCCTCGTCAAAACCTATCTTCCCGGCTTCAATCACTCCCTTTAACTTGCATCTGTCTTCAAGGGAAGAGCTGGGCCCGCTCAGGAATAGTGGTGCCAGGATGTGCAACGAGCCAACGAGAGACCACCTCGACAGGGCACGGGTCAGACCCATCTCGCTAATTAGAGCAGAGGACCATCCTTTTGAATCCAAGCAGGACCCAACTCTATTGACTAACCAATCCTGCTGCCCTTGCGTGCATGTCACCAGTGTGTGGAAGAGGACACCGCAGATGCAGGTCGAGGAGAACGAATAGGGGCCAGAATACGGGGAAGCAGTTTGGAAGTCATCGGGCTGTAGCAGCCACCCTCGCCTGAGCGCGAACTCAGTAGGGAGATTCCTTGCTTGCTGCTTTGCCTGAGAAACAAGCTTCGAACTGAGGGTCGAGCGCACCATTAATGGCGACTGTAGAAGCTTGTTGATGGCGGTCATCCTTGATGGCGACTGTTGCGGCTTTGGGCCCTGCCGTTAATGACGGAAAACTCGTCGGGGTTCACCAGACCTGCAGGGGCAGCAGCGATGGGATGGTGAGAAAGCGCCGTTGTGAACAAGGTGGAGATGGAAGAGAGACCTCCTCTCTTGCCTAGCCGAAGCAACGATGTCATCCTTCCTCCTATTCCCTGGATTTGGAATTTACAGATCCAAATTTGTAAACATCCATGCCATTTTTTGAATTTTGTTAGCTTTCGTAGAAATTGTTGATTGATTTTGTATAATTTTGGAACCAATTCACTCGATTGCTGTCAGAATCTTCCCAAATTCCTACCGAATAAAATGAGAGATAGGCTCTCAATGAAACCAAGCCTCAGGTCCGTGACACCGCCAATTGTATATGCGATCATACAATTGAAAATAACCCGGGTAGAGAATTCGGCAGCATTTCAGTATAGTGAGAATAGCTTCCCTAGAATACAAGGGGTTGGTGGCCTATTTATAGGCATACACAATAGCCCACCAATTAAGTGTTACATGGGCTTGGCCCGATTTATCAACTAACATTGACGCTAATGGGCCAGCCAGCCCGATATGTAAATAAATAATCTCGGACCAATATCCGCTAGCCGGGCTGTGTTCTGAGCTTGGTCGGGCCAAAGCTTGGGCGTAACGGGCCAATAGTCTTGGACCTGGCCCATTATCCCAACAGATCAGTTCTCTTGAAGCCAAGATAAGAGTTGATTGTCATAATCTTCAAGCACTCTTGATTGGTGTAGATATTCATATATACACAATATGCGCGTGAGGGGAAGGGGAGTAAAATGAACTAGTATATGAATATATAAAACATGACAAAATCCTTTTTGAAGTATAATATCATAAGAGCATCTCCAATGCTACAATGTGCACAGTGCACATGTGGCATGAAAGATGACCACCCAAATATTAGCAAATAAATTATATCTCTCCTTATTTGAACGATTTTATACAATTGTTTTTTTCTGCAATGTCAAGGAGACCGTCTAGATGTAGACACTGTGGTTGATGTTGTTAAGATAAACTTACCAAAATTGTATAAAATCATTCAAATAAGGAAAGAGATAACTTATTTAATGATCTTTATGTGGTTATATCTCATGCCACATGTGCACCGTGCACATCGTAACATTGGAAATGCTCTAAGGATTATGTACTTTTGTACGGGGATATTTTTAACTCTTCCACAAACAGGGTAAGTTTATGTCTTACATTTACCTTCCCTGCTGGCCCGTACATACACTTGCTAACTTCCATTCCTAACAACCCCAACACTCCATTCAAACAAGACTTTAGGGAGAAGACAAAGTGTGGTGGTGATGAAGAAAAGAGACAAAGAGAGTAGAGCTTTAATAGTGAAAGAAAATGATACGCCGTATAAAATTCCTTGAAATCACCTTTTGTGATTTTGACAATTCTTTTTTTGCTTTCAAAAAAACACTTCCTTATAATGCTATCTCGAAACAATACCAGCTTCTAGTGAACATGTTTTGTTTTATATCTAAATAAAAAACGGAAACTTAAAAACACCAGCCATATTAAATGGACCCTAAGGTCAGAGTTATTGGTGAATTGACCAAAGTTAGTGTGGAAAACCGTTTCAGCTACTTGAATCCAATTTTTTTCTTTATTTTATTAATAAAATATACTATATTTTAAATATATACTCCGTATTTTTTATCCAGTTTTTTTCTTTATTTTATTAATAAAATGTAGTACTATGTATATTTTTTTTTGAAAGAAAATATAGTATATTTTTAACATATATTTTTTGTTCATAAATTTGCAAAATCAATGAAACTTGCCTCTTCAACAAACTTCCTAAAACGATTAAAAAAAACTAAAACTTCCTAAAGAATAACATAATCAAGCTAATTCTAGTGCGACCAAAGAGGAACAAACTGAACTAATAGAAGCAAACCCGGCCCTAACCTGCCCAGTACATCCATTAAGCATTCTTCACGCTTGGCATAGCACAAACCCCTTTAACGGTTTAATCCCAAATTCCTCTAAAGAATATATATATCCCTGAATCAAACCCAATGAGGTTCATGCTACCGTAATTTTTAGGACGATCCGGCGGAAGAGGATGGTGAATAGTTGGTCGCAAGTGCACTTTGACAATTACAGGAATATTGAATCTAATTCGAACCAAAAAATTACATTTGTTAATGGAACCCAAGAAAGTTGTCGTCGCACCGGAGGGAGAGGAACAAATCCAAGGCGAGAAGATTAAGGCTTTACAGTGGGAAGATTATGAACAAGAGCTTGCCCGTCTATGCAGTCTCACAGCTGCACACAATGAATCTATGCAGAAGAAGCATTTGCTTGAAGAAAAAATTCAGTCAATTTTGAGGGTATAGCTTTTCTCTTTAGACTTCATAAATAAATTGATTTGCCTTCTTTGGGCAATTTAATTCTTTGAGAAATCTTGAGGGTAAAATTTCTGGTGTGACACTTTTGAGTAGTTGGAACTTGGAACATGGAGACTTGGAACATGAAGTCAAATTTTGTAGTAGTAAGTTAGTAACATCTCAACAACTAGCTGAACCTAGGCTTCAACATTTCTTTCGTTTTTTTATCGTGTTCGTTGCCATCTAGTTTTCTATGTATTAGTACCTGGGTTTCTTTGGAATGGAGTTCTTAAATTGTGCGAAATGTGTTTGCTCAGAAAAGAAAAAGAAAAGTCCTAAAATGGAAGAAATGAACAAGATGATTATTAGGACACTAACGGTCTCCCTTATTCAATTATGTTGTTTCATGGATGCGTACAATATATACTGTGTATTTGACTAGAGATCAATTCAACATGTTGGAATTTTGATGAGGGATGGTTTGAGCTCGAAGAGGTAGTACATTTTGATTTAATTCTAGACAGTGTACATTGCTGCTAAACTAGAGTTTAATGAAAAAGTATTTATGAAGGTAGTTACGTGATTGCACCGTGAATATACATTACTATGTTCTTTTGCCATGAATAATATTTAGAGCACTTGACCAATCGTGCATCACACAAATGACACATCTGATTTCCTTTATGAAATTTAATGTTTAATTGTATATACTATTTGTGAAAATTAATATACAAAAAATCAATGTGAGCAAGTGGGACAGTGTTCTCTTCTTATTTAGGTATTTTGCGAGCTCCATTAAGATCCTGTCATGTCATTTCAAGGCATCTGGGACCAATAGCTACATTTTAGACTTTTAGTTAGACATTCAGTTACTGTTACTTTCTCAATCACTAAGTTGAAAATGATATTTTCCTTTTTAGCTTTTTTGCTACCATTTAGACTCTTTGATATCTGTGTATTTGTAATCTACTCTACTACTCCTTTATATTGAGCTTTTATTGGACCTTCAGTAAGTGTGTGTTCTCCAGGTGGAAGCAGAATCATTGAATTTGTCAAATGAGCTTGATGAGATGAGAGAAACATTAGAGCACCGGAAATTACTGATGGGAAACACATCAATGAAATCAAAGGTCTTGAAAGAGAAAGTAAAAAAGGAAGAAGAACAACTTAGTAATGATATCAGGTCTTTGTTGGTTGCCGGAACAGCTCTTTCTTTAGCTAAAAAGCGACTGCAGGTATCATAATTTGCATCTCGTTTTGTCTCATTATCACGTTTTCAAAATGCCAAAACATTGAGGTACTCTACTACTCGAATCTACATGGAGGGGATGCTATTTCTAAGTTCGTTACAGCTTAATTCCTTAGTTAAAAAATATTACTCTGCACTTCTTATCATTATGGCTTTTCTATCAGATGCATAAACTTCATTTCTCTTAAAATCTTCTGCCCTTCTGGTGGCACCGAGTTACCAATTTTACTTTTCAATATTCTGTTGCGGTTTACACAATTAGTAGAATACTATGCAACAATATACTCATGGTTTTAAGGTGCTTAAAAGGCGCGTAATAGGCGTGCCTCATAGAATAGGCGTGCCTCATAGAATAGGCGTTCAAAAACATTATTTTATAACTCGTGTGCGGTGTATGGCAAATATTTACTGTATTATTGATATTACATTATAGATTATTAGTAATTTCAATTTGTAAAGGATGTTCGGCATAAAGTTTGCCTTGCCTCGCAAATGCAAAATGCCTTGAGGCTTAAAGGCACCTTTTGTAAACATCGTACATAATATACTCCATTTGTTCCAAATAGTCTTCCTTTTTAAATCGGCAATCCCCGTACAATTTAAAGGATGTGGTTGAAATGGAAGTGTGTTTGAGATTTGGGTTAGCATGATTGAAACAATATCAACCACACACTTCTTTCCTAAAAATCAAACATGAAGAATATTTTGTGACTGACTAAAACGGAAATTATAGAGAACATTTCAAGATGGAGAAAGTATCTTATAAAATTACAAAAGAATCTGGTTAGAAAATATTGGCACCATTTTATAGTTTCTACTTTAGGAGAGCATTAAATTGATATGAATGTTCACTTTTCTGTCTAACAACAAGTCAACAACAACATCCAATATTTCATCCAGGGGCACTTTTCATATTCAGAACTGCTGCCATTTCTTACGTTTGTTGAAAACATGACTCTTCAGTTCCTCCTACCATATTTCACGTAAAAGTAGTAGTCCTACAGCCTACAGGGGCACTTTTCATATTTCAGGTTATTATGTAGAAAGGAGTCCAAAGGACTATGTGCAACCTTTTTGTGTTGATGTTAATTAGTTGACTGTATTTTTATCTTCAGTTTTTACCCTGTAGAAACAGAAGGATTCAAGACAATGGGAATAGTATATACATATTGAATTAAGGGATCAAGACACTTTTTTATACAAGATATAGATGCTATTGCAGGAAAACAATTCCTAACCTTTTAGTAGTCCCTAAGATATGTGTGCTTCTATGCAGGATGCTAATAGATCGCTTACTGGAGAAATGGGCTGTGGACATTTGAAATCCATGCAGAGACTTGTGAGGCTAAGACAGCAATTTATGGTATCACAGATTCAATTGCTTTATCCAGTGAAAGTAGGAGCAGGACTGGAAATTGAACAAGAGCTCGAATCATTCACCAATATCATCAGATCAGGTACTGTTCTGCTTTGTATGTTGTTAAGGTGTTTTACTCTTCTGAATCATTCACCAATATCATCATTCATCAAATCAGGTACTGTTCTGCATTGTATGTTAAGGTGTTTTACTTTTCTGAATAACAAGGTTGCTTGTATGTTATGATAATTTTAAAAAGGGAAAACTTACGATTAGGTCCTCATACAGTCGTACTATGTCAAAAAAGTCAATTAGACCACCGTACTTTGGAAAAACTCAATTAAACCCTTGAGCTTTTAAAAATGTTCAATTGAGCGGTTTTGCGGTAACTGTACACGTGGCGGACCACATGGCAACAAATTTATTTTCTTTTTTCTTTTTCCTCTTCTTTTCGATTTTCTTTAAGGGCACATGGATAAAACTTATGAAGTCAAACGATGAAATTTGGGAGCGAGTGAATGAGCAAAGACTTTGTAGAAGTGTGAAGATTTCAGATAATCAATTTGGTTTTACGCCTGGTCGCTCAACAAGTGAGAAACATTCATCTTCTTAGGCAAGTTATGGAAAAGGAGTATGGTAGAGTATCTCGAGAAGTCCTTTAGTGGCCTTAACCGCAAAAGGCATATCACGTAAGTATATCAGCATCATCATGAATATGTATGAGGATTGTATTACAAGTGTCCCTACTAGTGTAGGGAGGACTATAGAGTTCCCAACTATCATAGTGCACCAAGGGTTGGTCTGAGTCCTTTCTTATTTGCTATAGTCATGGATGAAATCACAACGTCAATCCAAGAAGATATATCGTGGTGCATGATATATGCCGACAATATTGTGTTGATTGGTGAGACAAGATCGAGTGTTAACGCCAAGGTGGAACTTGGAAGTATGGCGAAAAACTTTGAAGAACAAGAGTTTCAAGTTGAGAGTCGAAGCAAGAGAGTGCAAGACTGAGTATATGGAGTGCAAGTTTTGTGGAGGTAAAAACAATGGTAACAATGGGATTACCTTGGATGATAAGGAGATATCGGTCAGTGACATGTTTCGTTATTTGAGCTCCATAATTCAGAAAGACGGTAAAGTAGATGAAGATGTATGTCATAGAATGGAAACAGGGTGGATGAAATGGAAGAGTGCTTCAGAATTTTATGTGATTGAGGTATGCCGATTAGACTAAAGGGTAATGTTATATTCAAAATATGAGTGTGGCCGAGATGCACATGTGATGTTGGATGCATGGATGTACTGAGATAGTCCATTTGAGAAATGAGATAATCACACAAAACATGACGTCGTCTAGGCCTCCAGTCGCTGGGGCCATGAGCCATCACCTCGCTGGAAGAAGAATAGACAACCATAGCCTCCTCCTGTCATTGTTCAATCGTCGGTTTGGCGACAAGGCATTAGCCAGATCATAAATAAGAGATTAATCGTAAAATAAAATATCTTTCATAGTCCTAACCGAAGGCCCAGATTTAGATTTTAGAAACAAAATTTTAGGCAACTAATTTAAGTAGGACTTTAAATAAAGCCCAAGTCTTACTTGACCATTCGTAAAGTCAATCGTCTAACTACTGTTCTGAAGTCTGAACAGCTGAAGGCAATCCAACGCCGTTCCCAGGTTTTATGGGTTAATCCGATGCTTTTTTTATTTTTAGTTAAATGTTCTTTCTGTTTCTTCTAGCAGTAGAATACCCACATGTGAGCTACTGAGAATTGTCTGAGCGTGTACCTTTTCCTCTAGCAGTATATAGTATTGTATTGTGTGTACCTTATCTAATACTGCAAGTGGACAAGTGGTATGTTTTTTGGGGAGTGGGGAGTGGCAGAGTGGGACAAAATTAAATGTTATATATATGTAGTAATATATTACTCCACATATTATACAGCATACACAATTTATGAATTAGATTGTTGTGGAGTATGGATTTGCTCATGGAGTGTAGCATATCTGATGCAGTTTTATCAATATGTAGCCATGTAGGTTGGTGTTTTGTTATGGACTTGTGGTTAATATTTAATTGGGATATAAATATGTTCTTCACTTCTTTGTTGTGTTTCATTAACATATTTTTATTGCAGTTTATTAATATTAGTATATTAATATATTTAGATTGAATATTTATTCCCAAACGATTTTGGGAATAATGCTTGGATGTTGTTGTTGTTGTCGTTGTATAATTATATATATAATATTATAAACTTATACAATGTGCGACTAGTCGCCCAATTGTCGCCTAGGGAATATGGGGATCGGTTGGCGCCATGACTCACCTTACTGCAGTGACAACCATTACTGGTTTGGCCATGTGCATAGAAGACAAGTGTTGCACTTGTTAGATGAGTTGAGAGGCGGGGAGAAGAGGTGGGGAGGAGAAGAAGATTCAAACAGACGTGGATTAGACTTTAGAGGAATCATGAGTAATATGTTACTTCTTGGGTTGGATGAGAGTATGGTTTTGGAGAGAGTGACGTGGTGGCAATTGGACGGAGGCCTGCATTTTCCTCTCTGGTTTAGCTTTGTCTTCACTGTTCTTCTACCGATGTTTGCCTTCATTGTTCTTCTACCGATGCTTTTCCTTGCTTCCTCTGGCTTTGGTTGGTTACTAAGTCCTGACTCACCTTTGACAATTGGCACGAAAACATCTAGAGTTATTAATGAGAATCATTTTGAATGGATTAAAACCATCAAGGACAAGGGTTACAACAGTAAGATGATAATAATCATTAATCAAGGGTTTCGATTTGCAGTCTCTTCAAGTGTAAAAGCCCCATAATTAATGCCACACACTCTGTATGTATATACAAATCTCCCCAATTAACATGCTAAGCACGCTGATACCATTAATATGTTAATGGTGTACAAGTTTTCCCGTGTATATATATAATTGAAGTTTTTTCCACACTTAATATTCTACTCCCTCCGTCCCATTTAAAGGTTCCCGTGCACTATTCTCCGGTCAACGTGCATTGTTCTTAATCTTTTACTTTTTATATTGAAAGTTTATGAAATTTAAATTATTTTTTGCAGGTTTTGTAATGGGTTTAATGTAGTTTCTGAATATGTAAATTTTATTTACTGAAAATAATTCTATTAATGATAGGGATCAGTTAACCTTATGGTCAGTCAAACATCGTAAATCGTGTGGGAACCTTAAAGTGGGACGGAGGGAGTATTAGAGGCCGTTTGGCAACACTGTTTTTCGGCTTATCAGGCTTATCAGCCAACTTTTTCACCAAACACGTAATTTTTGCTTTCGCGCGCTGAATTGTGTAATAAGCAGAAAAGGTAAGGTTGGAGTTACTTTTCTGGCTGTATTGGCTGAAGTCACTGTAGATGACCATTTTAGCTATTTTTACATATAATTTTTTCTTTATTTTATTAATAAAATATATTTTAAAAATAATTTTTTCTTAAACCAACATAATCAGCCAATGCAGCCAGAAATTCATAAATTTCAGCAGAATCAGCCAAAACAGTTGATTTTCGTGCTACCAAACGGGCTCTTAATTTGCACATTCAGTATATATTAGGTTTTTTTATGAATGATTAGGAAATGCTTCCTATTATGTGATGTTTGATCTTACTATATTTATAGATTTCAATATGAAATTGTTGACTTTTAATGAATATTATACACACACACACACACACTATACTATATATTCATCTTTCATCCAAAAAAAACACATACATACTATATATGTGTGTGTATATATAAATGCATTGAACTAAGGATTATGCCCAATTGTGCAATACGCCATCTTAAGAAACCGCCTCAACTATGTAATGCACATTTTTGTACAACAGTTCATATGAGAGTGACATCATCGGAGCGAAATGAGATTAATATAATGCACTGAATTCAAGATCGAAGGATTATAATCGTTAGTCTTATTTTTCCATTTCTTTTTTGGTGTATTTAGTTTAGAATACTTAATTCGAGGTATCATAATATGTAATTTGATTTTAATTAAGAACATCTCATAAAGTTAAAAATATATTTTGGACTTTTCATTTCATATGATTTTTATGGAACTTTGGAAAATATCGATTCACCAAATTAAGACTTCAATTACATGATAATAGATTTTTCTTAATTGGAACATCTAATTATAATATATTCTAAATCTAATTACACGAGTTAAGTTATTTTTATTTGTAGGTATAAAAAATAAACCTAAGGTGGGTTTCCAAAAATGACCAAAGAACGTTAAATTTGTGCTTATTTGGTCTATTTGTAACCGTAGTGTCCAATATGAGAATCACATGTAACCATAATGTCAAATTTGGTCCAGTTGAAACATTAGTGTCAAATATGATGTTCATGTGTAACTATGGTGTCCAATTTGGTCTTTATCTCAAAGAATTAATGACAAATGTTTTGCCAACTTTAAAAAAAAGATGTTTTTTTGTGGCAGCGCAAAAAATGCAGTATTTGACACATAAGAGTGCACCGTAATGAATCGAAAGTGCATCATTTACATGGGAAGAGCAATTATCACGATCACCGCTCCCTATGTGTATGTGCGTACACACAACATGCACATGCAAACTTTAATGCGGAAGATGCAATGAATGGATGTGCATTGTTATTTACATAGGAGTGTCAAAATGTTCATTTGTGAAGAAGCATACTGGGGGTATACCCAAATGTGCAGAAGTACACACTACATAATGTAGAGGAAAAAGTGCTTTTGTTTACGCAGAGCATGTCATTGTTCAAATAAGACTGCAAAAGTGCATTGTGCACAGCTGTTTGAACATAAAGCACGGCCTTACATTTTATATGCTAGACGGTCAAGATATTTTTTTACTATGGCATTCATACTCGATAGGTTCTGCGATTCATAGGGCTCTAACATCTTGAATGTTTTCTACCACTATACAGGACAAAAATCTCTAGATCAAGGGTCCTTGACAATTGCAGGTCTGCATCTTACCGTGGTTCCTTTTACAAAGAAGAGTTTTTTCACTGATAAGAAGGAGGTTCAGAGGTCTGCAACTGCTCTGGGATATGTTGCACATGTGTGTTCTCTCTTTGATTCATTTATATAATTGATAAGCTCCACACTCTCATTTGAATTTCGGAATTGAATCAATTGATTGGTATTTCCTTCTTACCAAACATGGTAGACCATGTCAGCCCAATACAATCTTTCAAAGTCCGTGAATCACCAGTCTTTAACGTGTACATATGCTATTTGATGGATGTCCCACCTTGCATTAGCATGGCATTACTAGTGCACTAGCATATTTTGATCTTCGCAACTCACTTATTGCAGGCCGTCTCACTTATTGCCTGCTATTTACAAGTTCCTCTTCGCTATCCTGTGAGATTAGGAGGTTCCAGATCATTCATACGTGATTATGCGCCTTCAATTGAACCACCACCACCTTCGTCATTATCATCAGATGATGCGTCATCATCTTTACTCTCCACAATTTTGAAACCTGTAGAATTTCCCCTCTTCTTGGAAGGGCAAGATTCAACAAGAGCAGCATATGCTGTTTTCCTTCTAAATAAGGTTTGTTTGTTTCTTGGGACCTTTCCTCTTATTCTACTATCCTTGTTCATGTTCAATTGTTCAAATACTCGTTTAGAGAGACCTATAAATGGATGGTTTGGATGTAGAGCCATATGCCTAGCACCTCCCTGTTAGGAATGGGGAGGCTGGATTGTCTAATGATATTGTAGACTGCAAAATCGTCATTTTCCTTTAAGATATAGTTTGGTTGCCTGATGTAATAATATATTGTAACATGATGCTTTTACAAATAACTTCAGAAATCCAAAGAGTAATAAAATACATATATTTAAATTTAAATATATGTATATGTATACTGGCTTGGTTGGATTTATTTATGTACTCCTCTCTGTTTTGTAGGATCTAGAACAACTTTTGAATTATATCGGGACAAGAAGTTTAGGGCCACGTCACGTACTTGCAAATTTGAAGGAGCTATTGAGAACCATTCTTGCTCCGGAGTATATGAATACATGAATTGTGATTGTTCACTTTACAAGTTTGATTGTAAGCTTTTGTAGATATATGGTCGCTAATTTTGAGCAGGAGCTATTGAGAACCATTCTTGCTCTGGAGTATATGGATACATGAATTGTGATTGTTCACTTTACAAGTTTGATTGTAAGTTCTTGTAGATATATGGTAGCTAATTTTGAGCACTTGTAGCCATTTCCCCTCCTAATTCCTACATTGAGAAATGCAACATATCAGCTTTGTAAAAAGAGATTGCAGTTTAGTGCTCTGATATTATTTTTAATACATTGCTTGAGCATTACTGTCCTACGTGTTTTAATGCAAATTATCAACAAGTTTGTTGAATGCTTATAATTTGACTCAAGGACCATGGAAAAGGGTTTCCATTATTTTACAAGAATAGACTATATTGTATATTAGCAGGGACTTGATAGTGTATGAAAGGGATTTTTATACATTAGCTAATAACTACGTGGTAGTAGTAATGGAAGGAAATGCAGGGCTGCAGGCCGAGTTCAAATTAGCAGCAACAACGACATTCAAACCTTAATCCCAAAAGAATTTGGGGTCGGCTAATATGAATCGATCTATGATATCGATGCTAAACAGAGAAGACAGACAAGAAGAGAAAAGAAGAATAGAAAAGAAAAAAGAAAAATAAGGAAGATAAAATGGATAAATAAAGACAAATAAATATAAGATAACAATAACATAAGAATATAAGAATGATAAAATATATAAAAAGATAAAAGAGCATAAAAAGTTATAAGATAGAAATAACATAAGAATATAAAAAAATAAAGAAGATAAACGATAAAAAAAAGAGGAAAGGTGGAAAAAACATCAATTGTCACACGGATGTGCGTCAGCGTCACCCACTTTGCTCTCTCCAAAGTCATATTCTCAACGCCTGAGAATACGGTGCCTGAAAATCGCGGACCACGAAGTGGTGCAGTGTGGTTTGAGCATTGTTCCGTTCCCCTCCAAATGTTCAAACCGTGTGTTGGGGTGCCCTAAAGTGGGTCAGGCTATATAGGCTATATTATTTTTAGTTTTTACGCTAAAAATGCCTTATTTTAGTTGAAAAACGCTAAATCAAAAAGTTCATGCTTAGTATTTGGGACACATATCTTACTGTATGTTCTTGTATTTCAAGCGTATTATATCTCGTTGGAGAGATCATTTTTAATTCTAAAGCTATTGTTCCGATTCAATTTACAATCCATTGAGTATAAGGTAATGACTGACCTGAAATTCACAAACATTTCCGATTTCATTCCGAACACGTGTAGAAATTGATGTGATCATAGCTTGATGTATTTAGTTCCGTTTTGAAGCATTCTCTACGTCGTTAGAAAGATCGTATCGAGTTCTGGATTGCTTTGAACTTCTCTACATCTTGTGGAGTATTATGTATCATATTCACTTTATCTTGCATCTACTATCACAAAGAAGAGTTTAAACCTGAGTAGTGAGCATGTTTGAAATCGGACTGTAATTTTTTGGATTGGTCTGGTCTGGTTTGAACTGATCTGGTCTATAAATGTGTGTTTTATGTATATTTTATAACTGGCGAACTCTAGTATGATCCGGTTTGTTTTAGTCTGACATGAGACTCTTGAACCTTTTTTGAAAATATTTTCACACTTGAAATGAGTACAATTAAAAGCATCCTAAAATATCACAGTGATGTGGTGTCAAACACAAATCTTGTTACCTATTCAAGAATCAAGGCACCGAAAGAATCGTTGAGAGAATACAAATAAGGTATAAGTGTTGAGTGGTAGTGAACTTCAAAGCAGTTAAGAGTTTAAGCAGTGTTTGCATTTGCTTTTGTAAAGCACTTTTCAACTTCTCAATTGAAAAAGGCTATCCAATGTGTTTGCAAAGACAAAATTCTGCTTGTTTGGAAGTGCTTTTGGGTTAAAAGCTGATGCAACCTTATACATGCTTTTAATAGCTTCTTGGTATTTTGGTAAATATTTCAAACTTTATGGATATTTATTAGGTTCAATTAAACCCAAATTACCCTCCCCCACCCCCATATAAAAACACCAGATTATAAGAATTTTGCCGACGAGGCCATAGGCCATAGTTAACCTGATTACACCTAAACATAAGTATCAGATTGTTAGAATCTTTATTGAATCCAATTTGTTTTGGAACATAAGCACAACTTCCTTTCTTCATTTTCATCGATCATGCTCTGTTTTGGTGAGAGTTGTGGTCTCGTGGAAGTACGGAGAACATAAGGTGAGAGTTGTGGATAACGGAGAACATAATATTACAAGGACATTTTTGTATTTTTATAAACATGTTACATCACAATCATTTTTTTTTATCAAATACTTCAACTTTTACATTTTAATTATAATAACTTCTATTTCCAAACGCTATCTACTTTTACTACAAATCACTTTTTCAATAATCTCTTAAATAAATCACTTTTGAAAAGCAGAAGCAAACCCAAACATAGCCTTATTCATTTTAGGCACTTGTGAATAGGGAAAGCAGGAGCACAAATGGTCATTAAAGTTTGAAGAGTTTATCACATGAGTGATTCAAAAAAATGAGCGGTATTATTGTCCTTGCTGATTCGCAATCGAGAGATGTTACAAATATATAATTTAGACATCTTAATTTTTGTTATCATGTACATGTTGGTTGCGATCCCCATACCAGCAGGGGTTCTTATTTTCTTATTGGCCCGATCCCGGGACCTATAAATATGGCAACATTGTAAATACCATATTTTGAATAGTTTTTGTCTATGTTGCACAAAAACGCGAAAATCATGAGGAAACGGGAAATGGAAAACGCCAACTTTTGCTCAAAAACGCTTGTTTGGAAATTTTTTCAAAGAGTTTCCATTGAGTTTCCGAAACGGAAAGTACTCTTTCTCGAGAGTTTACGTGCTACATAAGTCTTTGTCACTCCATTTCTATATATAGTTAGCTACATACTTTTATCCCTCACCATGAGGCCATGAGGGTGACCCACGTGTACATATGTATATACACGAGCATTTCTAAAAAAAAATGCTCGTGTCTATTTTTTTTTATACACGAGCATTTCTCATTTTCAATTAATGAGAAATATTCTTCTCTTCATTCTTTTGACATATGAGCCTGATCGTAAAAGGGTTACTCCGGAGATTAACTCAAAAAGCATGATCAAAGGACTAAAAATGACCACAAGACTTGCATAAATAGCACTAGGGTGGTCGTTCGAGATTGTTGGAAGCTTTCCAAGGAATAGCTTTAGAGAATATGACAATGGATTAGAATTGAAATGGTAGGAAAACATGATTAAAATGAAAGGTATCTATTGAAATTTTCATGATCAAAATATCTGCATACCAACGAAGATATTCCGAAGAAGAAAAAAGGAAATTAGTTGTCAGGGACTGGACCGGCCAGTTTTGGTCTCCAAAATTCACGAACCCAGGATCGGGCAACAAACCGCTCACCCTGGTGGCCTGGTTACAGTTCTAACCGGGAATCGGACGATTGGTCCCAGTTATAAAACATTAAAACTATGCTGTTTCAGTCCGATCTAGTACCGTGGACTAGCGCCTCTAGTCCTCTACTTTCATCTAGGCATGGCCCGGGCCCCGGCCCGGAACCGGTCCATCACTACATTTCGACAAGTCATGTCTGTGAGGGCTTGTGCATGTGCCAGCGACGATGAAGTGAAGATGTTAAATGTGGCGTCGAAGGTAGCGTACTAGCGTAGCAGCATTTTTCTTCTCAAGGGTACTTAATGATTGTTCAAGTCGTAAGAGGGGATAAGAAGAGTCCCCACTGTTAATTGAGGAAGCCTTCGTGCGTTATACCATAATTTACATTGATTGTTACTGATTGTGAATTTGTGATTTATCACTAAGCCAGCGAAGCCACTTTTACTTTAAAATGAATAAATGATGGCTCAAGTCATGGACGTTTACCGAAAAACTGTCCAATACAGAAAATATTGATTCATTAATCAATATACTAGAGCAATTTTGTTCCAATTTTTACATATTTAAAGCCCTTAAATTTTAAATCTGATGTACTAAATTTATTGTAAATTTCCATGGGAATTTGACCCAAGACAAGATTTGAGGAAAGAAACGATAGTATAAGAATAGAATGGCAATAAGAAACTTATATTAATAAAGCAGCAGAGGGTATTGCATCAAGCAACAATGTTAATTTTGTGTAACCGTTGTATTGGAGCCATGACATCATTTCCTGATATGTATTAACATAAAAAGTGACCATTAATGAGTTTATGGCACATTTTTAGACGCTGTTTTGAACCATTGGGAAGAACACAGTGCTATGAAAGTTACATTAACTAATTATGATATCGTACCTCAATTTCTTCCCATTCTATTCCAACCCCATCATCAAAGCACAAGTTAACCCTCATTGCTTGTATTTAGATAAAATCATAAAATAATGAATGATGAATAAATAAGTTCTATAGGCAAACATCTTCACAATGTTATAGCATCTCTGAACTAAAAGTGTACCGAGGGAAGCATGATCTATAAGAATCATAAACCACAAAAAGTTGTGGTGCTTTCCAGTGTACAAATGACCTACTACATGTGCCAAGGCTGTGAGAGGGTCAACAGCAACCACCCAAACAAAAATTCTAAGACATTCATTCGATGCACTTTCAGTAGATCTCTGTTCTCTCCAGGCTCAAGCCGGTAACGCGAGCTTTGTGTTGTTCTTCCAGCTGCATACATCATATAGCCTTGTCAAGAACGGTATATCCATGAGTGCAGATGGGGGGAGCCACCGGAGACCACCCCAAATACTGAAAAACTTTATTTTTTTCATGTGCAAAATTTTAGTGTTTTACATAAATGAATTCTTTTTCAGTTTTTTTTTCTGGCTCATCCCGGAGATTTTTTTTGGAATCCTCCAATTGTTGTGTGTATGAGAACAGCAAATGCAATTAATGTTTTTACCTTTGGAAGTAGTAGTAGAAGAAATCAGCATAAAGCAATGTCTGAACAAGGCCTGATATCCAAGCTGCATTTTGAAGACACATGCCAAAGTGTGTTACATATATACATTATTGACAGTTGACACACGCCATAGAGTTGGCATATGTTCTGAGTTGAAATTGAATGACTGCACATCAAAGCAATAGAAAGAATGTCCAGTTTGTCAACATACTTATCCAATGAACATAGTGAGGCTCCGTGAAGTAGCGATAAATCCAGTTTAAAATGTACAAGGAACGATATGCCCTGCAAAGAGATTGCAAAGTTAAAAGTTGATCCAATGACTACTAAACACTACTTTCTAG